TGCTAACGGTGCTAATGATGCTAATGATGCTAACGATGCTAACGGATAATATTAGCTTAGCGTTAGCTGCTATCTAATTGATATAGCTACAGTTTCACTAATGTCATTAACAGGCAACTTAATTTAGGCTAATTATTTAAAGCAAACTTATAATGATGTGGCTTCTAGCTTTATTGAGTGAAGCTACACTCAAATATTTACACAAACACAAACTAACTTACATAAAGCGGAGCTAACGGAGCTAACGGAGCTAACTCGACTCCCGCCACAACTCCGGTCGGTCAGCGGTTTCCCGCCTCAGGGTTGCAGTTATGCCCCGCCCTCTTCTGCCTCTGATTGGCTGGTACAAGTTCCGTTCATTGGTCGAATGAGTTAGGTTTGTCATGGATATCAGCATGAGCCAATCAGAGGCAGAGTAGGGCGGGACTTAACGTCGCTCACCCGCGAAAAGAGCGCAGCAGCCGTTATACAAAATGCGCGACCGCAGCGCCATCTTTTTGTTCCGGTGGAGGAAGTATTAAATTAATATATTATTTATTATTCTTTATTTATAAATATATAAATATTAATTATAATACTACCCACCTTGTATTCAATAATATGTGTATTATCTATTTAATATATAATTGTTTGTGTTGCTTTGTAATAAATGAATTTCCCTGCTGTGGGATCAATAAAGTCTATTATATGTTATATTCACATAATAATACTAATAGTACTAATAATAATAATTATAACTTTATTCATATAACACCTTTTAAACTTTACTTGCAAAATGATGGTTCTAATACACAAAATGTAATTAAATATAAAAATACAAAATACCAAAATACAATAAGCAGAACAGAAGTCCTAAAAATAAAATGAAATAGATGTACACAAGAAGGTTCTGTTTTATTTATTTTATTTTATTGTGCTGTGTTCTCTCTGAAACTCCTTTAATACAGTTTGAATTTAAAAAATATATATTTAATTCATTTATAAAGAATAAAGTAAAGTGAGTAACAAAAATATCTGTTATTGTTGAATAAGAAAAATAGAAAGCAAAAACAACAAAATGGAAAATTAAAAATAAAACTAAAATTGAAACAAATTAACCGGAGGGATTTTCGGTGCTTTTTGGGTGAGACACCGGAAGTTCGCCGCTTTTATTTGTGAGTCCACTTCCTGTTGTGAGTCCAGCGGCTGCGCACAAACTGCAGATCTTCCGCTAACAAACCGAGAAAAAGACTACAACTACCAGGTAAAGTGAAGAGATATCAGGTCTATAATGTCACTGTGGGCGATAGCAGTGAAGTTTAATTGATTTCACATTAATTTATGGTTCTGTTCGTCTTTATGGAGCTAGTTCTGCTAACGTTAGCTCGGAGCTAACCGGCTCACAAACGGACGAGTTTGTTTTTACTGACTTCCGGTAACAACGCGGGTTTTATTGGACTCTTTGTGTTTAATCCGTCTGCAATAATCCAACCTTTACATTCTCCGACTCTCCTCCAGGTGGATGGTCCAACACATCTGGAGGACATGAGTCCGGATTCCAGCTGATTCCAGGTGTGTCACAGATTCCAGGTGTGTCACAGATTCCAGGTGATTCCAGGTGTGTCACTGCTGCAGGGAGGCCATGGAAGGCAGTCCCTGTTCGTCTGAGCCGGACAGTCCCGGAGGTCTGAACCGAGGCTGCCTCCTGGACCCGGCTGATGTCCTCTATCATGATCTCTCCATCATCGTCCCAGAGACACCCAGGTAACGTGGCTCTGTCTCACCTGCACAGGTGCTACAGCTCTACACGTGTGTGTGTGTGTGT